ATATATATATATATATATATATATATATATCATAGATATATATATATATATATATATATATATATATATATATATATATATATATATATATATATATATATATATATATATATATATATATATATATATATATATTTCATCAAACAAAGAAGTGAATAATGGTGAGTGAACTTGGATAGGATATCCGTTCAGAGTGTTAAATGGTATGCGCTAACCATAACTTCCAATTATTCGAAACGCTGTATGAGGATCGAATTTTCTAATAAAATATTTGTTTTGTTGTAAATTTTTAAGAAATACTCAAACATCTCACAAAAGACAGATCTCCATCTCCGATTTACCAATGTGAAATAAGCGTTCTTGTCGGTGTCATAGTAAGACAATATATCGAATGCGTTGACATCACGCTTTCCGGTGTTTCTTTGTATTGAAGAGAATATTTGATGAAACAGTTTAACTTTTAATGGTTTTAACATTCTGTTCGCCACGAAGAATTATAATCAAAGATTTTTCATGATAAGATAGTTAATTTTAACCATCAAAATATTTTGTTCGTATGACGTACTGAATTTATTTTGAGGTCATTACATTTTAATGTGTTAGGTTATATCAATCAAAATAAATGTTCAACATAAACGACAAATTAAAGTATATCAAAACGTTTTTCATTTAAAGTTTGATCATGTCAGATCAGAAATTTCAAATTTTAACAGCTCAGAAACATGTAAAAAAAACCTTTTTTGATTGAATTTTATTTATCACAGAATCAAAAATTTAATCATTAATGATTAAATTAAAATAAGTTCAAAATATATTTTGTATGTAACGAATTGTTCAACAACATCCTTCTGCTCACTCCTATTAGAAAATAAAAAAAATATCAAATCAAAGTTCATATAGTACAGACAGACTTTTGAATGTATACAAAAAATAAGTGTTGATAAATTTAATAAATATTATATAGGGAAGCTGATAAAAATTTTACTTTTCTGAGTTTCTCGATGGTGGCATAGTCAGCGGTCGGACCTGGAATACAATATTTCAATATTCAGAATAAGCAGTAAGCAAATATAACATCGAAGCAAATGACAGACCGTCGTATTCGGTGCATGCGAGCAGGCAGTACTCAGCAGTCTTGAAGAAGTTGACAGAAGGCTGTTCAGCACAAGGTAGGTGCACGAAGGCCTGGCATCCTTTCGAGTCCTGGTTGAAGAAGAATCTGACCGATGGCTTGTTTTCTTTCAGGCTGTAGTTTGTACCTTCGGGACACTTGCCTGCTAGCTTGCCGGTTGTATACAAGGGTTGGTTGAGACACTTTTGCTGGTACTCTTCTGTTGAGTTTTTTAATTCGTAAAAATTTATAAATTGTTTTTAATGTGGGAAGTAATTTACCAACAAACTTTACATACTGAAAAGATCTTTGCTACACGAGACAGTAATGACAACTGCGAGAATGAAAACATGACGCAACATTTCTTCTTTTATTTAAATAAATTTTCAACAAATTTTCTGAATCTAACTGAAGAAGTTGTGTTGCAGTTTTGTGATTATAAAACTCAGCAGCATGACATTTTTATACAAAATGTAGATAGCCCATGGGTTTGATATTATAAATTCAAATTAACCTCTTTTTTATAATTAAGTCTCTTCATTATTAACATAAGCCCGAAGAAGTTGTGTGATATTAAATTAATTTTGCATTAATTATCGTCAGAAGCATGCGATTGTGTGATTCAACAATTTTCTTTACATATTCTTGATCGGTTTATGATGCTGTGTCTAACATCTAGTGACTGGTTGCTCCATTAATCTAGCTTTACGCTCCGGCATGACAGTCACCTCACAACAACAACCTCAGGCACAGATTTTGAAACGCAGCAAAATTTTAAGATATCAAAAATAGTTACAATCTTTAACTTTTAAATCTTTGTTTCACTTTTTTATCGTGTCGTTTTTTGTCGCCAAACAGCCTGTAAGTGCGCTTATAGCCTAGCCTAACTTACGTACATTACCTGGAAAAACGTAGACTATGTTTTCATTAATTTATTTCCAAAGATACAGGTTCAAACTCAAAGTTAAGAGAAAACGACGAAGGCACTTCGTCCTGCGTAGTGTGGCAGGATTCGAAGGCAAAGTGATTCTAGCCTAACGTATGCAACGCCGATGTGTGTAAAAAGAGAAGTTTTGCAATTTCACAAAACCTATGTATGTGTGTTTCAGATATCTCCACGGGTAAATAAAAAAGAGAATTTTTTTTGTAACCATTCGTTGAAATTCGGTCATGAGAGTTATGTTGAGAAGGCATGAGTTTGTTCTAGTTAAAATGGACGTTACATATTTAAACACTCAAATTAATATAACTTGAAATAAAAAATGATGTTCTTTAGTGAAAGTGTGTCATTTACCAGGACTGAATTTATTAGAGATAAATTTACAGTCACAGTGCTAAATATCGTGAAAAGAACATTTATTTGAGGGTGACTTAAAAGATGTTTATTACTTTGGGCTTATTTAGTTGTCGCATTGAAAGCTCTTATTTTTTATTCTTTTTAAAATTTTCAAAACATTTAACAATCGAGATTTTATTTATTGAGTAGCATTCATAAAGTTTCATTCTATAATCGCCAATTGGAATTAAAAAAAATTATAGCGTCATGTAAAAAACTTTGCGTCCACTGGGCCCCCGAATGTTGCAATTATACGTTCTTCTCTTTGTTCCTTCAAAAAAATGTTGTTATGCCTTACTAAAAATAATGAATCAAATTGTTGTGAGACTTAATTAAATAAGTTTTTTACATTGCGTGATAAAAAATATTTCAAAATTTATAAATACAATGTATATTCATTGTCTTTCTCAGTTTTCTGGTGGTTACACAGGCAGCAGTTGGACCTGAAAATGAAGATATTTTGACGATTTTTTTTATATTATTTCTTGTGGTTTCATCAGCTTAACTTCAGCAACAAAACAAAACAGAAACATCACAAACCGTCGTATTCCGAGCAGCCGAACAAGCAGTATCTTAGTGACAGAAGGTTGTTTAGCACGAGGTGTACAAACGAAGGCCTGGCATTCTTTTGAGTCGTGGTTGAAGACAGTGTGCCGGAGGAACCAAAGTTTTAAAAATGTGGTTAAAAGTTTGAAATTTGACGGAGGCTCAAGGAAATAACCAAACGTTTGTTAGTGTAGCCAATTTTGGGTCGATTTTGTAATTAAAAACTATGTTTTCCTGTCAAAGATCGAGTTATATTAACTTTAAATTAAATCCTGGCCCCACCGGTACCCCTCCTACATCGGCCACTGTCAAAACTATATTTGGTTTACTTTTCTAAGTTTTTCAATGGCTGCATAATCTGCGGTCATACCTAAAAAATAAAATCATTTCATGGTTTTGAAGTTGACTCATCAACGTAAAAAAACAGACGGCCGACAGCTAAATTAAAACTTTTCTACGTCATTCGCGTAATCGTTTTAATATGAACACAAGCCCGAGGATAATTTTTAATTTAAAGTATAATTTATTTTCGATTATTTTTAAAACAATATTGCACTATTATGCGACATACTGTTGAACTTGATCCTTGGCGTTTCATTAATGAATATATACAGCTATTTATAATTTTAATAATTTTATAATTTAATAATTTTATAATAATCCAGGTTTATGTCGTCAGGTCGAAAATATAGTTACGTCTTTTTTAAATGAGCAAAAGACTGATTTTTTGGCAAATGTGTTAGTTATTAACAGTTACTAACTTTGTTATTTAAATGTATTTTTTTCATGTGAAGTTACTTGTGGCATTTCGAAACGTTCTGTTAATTATGAGAGTATTGTTAAAACAGTCCAACACTGAATATATGATTCCGCTGATATTATAACAATGTAATTATTGTGATTTAAGCAATATTTAGCAGAAGTAAAGATGTTTAAAAAAAATACTATCCTACACCTTATAAACATCTGTTTGTTACAAATATGGACACATAGTTTTGGCACATAACAAACAAATATCAATAAATCGGTTAAATATAATGTAAATCACTTTTATAGACAAAATTTGGATTAAATTTTGTCACATAAAACTGATTAAAATAGCCAAAAAGCACTAAAGCTAAAAAATAAAAAATAATCTTTTAACTTAAGTTAAAATATTGTTTTATCTACATTTATATTTTTAAAATTTAGTAATGCTGGCCAATTAAATATAAAACGTAAAATTAATTCTGCCCTAGACAATGACAAAACATCCAGTAAAAAGATTGAATCTGAATATCGTTCATTCGTAATCTCGGACGTGTTCGTAACAGCTGAAATTATGATCCGCAATGTAAAACCAGGAGGGGTAGTTTTTCCGCCAGTTGTTTTCACAATCTTAATTATCGTCCTCTTCATAAGTCTCTTCATCTTCTTCCTCCTCTGCCAAATATTCAACATCGTCACATTGTTTGTATGCTTCAACGTGTTGAACATTTTGAAACAGCGAGAAATCAAATTTGTAGTCGTTTATGTAGAAGTCATAAACGAAACTGTTCTCTTTTTGTTTTTCACCAGCGTCTCTTTTTGGACCATTTCTTGAATTCTTTCGCTGAGGCATATCAATTTTTTCCACATCGAAGAGAAAATATTTTATGTTCTCATCTGCCAAATTACATTCCGAATTGGCCAACGAATCAAATGTTTTGGCTGTCTTTTTTCCATTAATTTGATATCCTTTATGAAGAGATATTTTTCTTTTCTTGCTTGGTTTGGGATCGTCAGCTACATCGCAATGTCTCTTCCTCTCGTTTTCCAGTTTATACTGTCTTATTGCAGTTTTGACAGTTTGATGGATGAGGGAATCCTGAAATATGAAATTGAGTTAAAATTAAAAAACTAATTTAAAAAATTTAAAAGAAGCAAGCAAACTAAATAGGACGAAATCAATGAATGGACAAGAAAAAAATTAAACGAAATAAATGAATGGTAAAGAAAAAATTCCACTGATACATTAGCCTGATGAACGGTTCCAGCAAATTTGAACTTGTTCTCAATTTTATATAGTTCCTCATCACCATTATAGCTTTTCTTCGCTTTTTTGCAAACAAACACTAATGATTCAATTGGATCTTTTTCCCGTTTCATCATAATTCTGACAATTGCAGCCATTTCACTGTACACACGATGTTTTGAAATAGTCAAAACAGTCAGTCAGTCAGTCAGTCAGTCAGTCAGTCAGTCAGTCAGTCAGTCAGTCAGTCAGTCAGTCAGTCAGTCAGTCAGTCAGTCAGTCAGTCAGTCAGTCAGTCAGTCAGTCAGTCAGTCAGTCAGTCAGTCAGTCAGTCAGTCAGTCAGTCAGTCAGTCAGTCAGTCAGTCAGTCAGTCAGTCAGTCAGCCAGCCAGTCAGTCTTTCAGTCAGTCAGTCAGTCAGTCAGTCAGTCAGTCAGTCAGTCAGTCAGTCAATCAATCAATCAACCAATCAATCAATCGTTTTCTACCGCGTTATTGCAGCTATGTTCAACGACGCTCTTCAATGGATTTCACAAACAGATTGGAAATTAGTTAGGTTTAATTAAAATATACGAGTTTAGATTGAGGCCTGTACATTAACATGCAAATTTTAAAATCTTTGTAGGTAGGTAGTGCAAGAGAGCAAGATACGGTAATATATGAGAAAAGATGGACAACTAGACGACGAGTAGCACCTTTAAAAGTATACCATATTAGGGTGAGTTGCAAAAATCAGTCGTAGATAGAACTAATGAAGTAAGAAGTAGGAGAAGGGCATAAGACCATTATAAAACTTAAAAGACTTTTATTCGACGTTGATGAAGATTCAAAGTCAGCTGTTAAATATTATTTGGTGTCTTCGTGGAAGTATTAATTTAAAATTTTATTATTCAATTTTTTAATTCTCCCCACTATCATAAGCTCTAAAAATTAGTGTAAAACTACAAGGTTATCTTGTTTAAAACCAGCTTTATGTCACTCAAGCTAACTGTGGCTTACTTGCTTGTGAATCCTAATTTAATATTCGATGACGGGTTTCTAGAAGAAATGGTTTGCTGTTCCTCGCGTTTTACTGGAAGCGGACATAAAATGGACCGCAAGTTAACGCGGATCAAATGCAATCTGTTCGAAGCTGAAAGACAAACAAATGTTTTTTTTTTAAATTTGTACGCACAAGGAGTGTGTGTGGCGTAAGAGTTTGATTCAGAAGGAAGGAAATGTGTGGAAAATCAACAACATCTTTGCGTTCATCAGAGCTGCATCATAAGATAATGTCGATTTGCTGCACGTCGAGATGGCTCGAATGAAGTTGGAGTCGAAGCCGAATCCAGGCACGGTATTAATTAATACCGAAGTGTTTAATAAACAATTTTAAATATATTTTATATTGTTTTATAAATCATTTTTAATAAAATGAGAACCAGGTATAAATAAAACACGTACGTGTTCTGATGTATTGACGTTTAATATAATGACTGTCAACTTCTAGAACGACACAACTCTATTACAAAATTTCCTTTTGTTTGTTTGCTTGTTTATTCTCATGGCACGTTATCAATCAATCATTCATTTGTGAAAAATCACAGCTTCATGTTCACTGTTGCATTTATTTATTATTTTGTGCAAACTAAAGATTTAAAATGTTTTTTGTCTACAAAAATTTGAGAAAATCAAATGAACTATATTTTTATTAACTAATAAGCATTTGGTAACCAAATATTTAAAAAAATTAATGTTCTTGAGTAAAAAACATTTCTCAGTGGTTCATTCAATGCAGGCCTCTTTATTATTCTATTGATCATTCCTTTGAAAATAATTAATGTTTATGAAATAAAAATGAATTCATTGCATTACAGATATAATACATATATCTATATTTTGAAGAGTCCTTGCCAAAATTAATCTAGCAAAATCTTAAAGCTTATTTTTTCACAAAAATCTTACTTTTCTCAGTTTCTCGATGGTGGCATAGTCAGCGGTTGGACCTGGAATTCAGTATGTCAGTATTCAGAATAAGAATAAGCAGTAAACAAATATAACATCGAAGCAAATGACAGACCGTCGTATTCGGTGCAAGCGAGCAGGCAGTACTCAGCAGTCTTGAAGAAGTTGACAGAAGGCTGTTCAGCACAAGGTAGGTGCACGAAGGCCTGGCATCCTTTCGAGTCCTGGTTAAAGAAGAATCTGACCGATGGCTTGTTTTCTTTCAGGCTGTAGTTTGTACCTTCGGGACACTTGCCTGCTAGCTTGCCGGTTGTATACAAGGGTTGGTTGAGACACTTTTGCTGGTACTCTTCTGTTACAAGTTGAAATAAAATTTTCATCAGCAATCAAATTTTATTTCATTTTTGAATAAATAAAAAAAACTAACTGAAAAGATCTTTGTTGCATGAGACGGCGGCAACAACTGCAAGGACAAGGATCAAGCGCAACATGGTTTCTTCTTTTCACCGGAAAACTAATTCAAAATGAAACAATTTACAAGAAGAATTATCTGAAAATGTTTTATGGTCACCCAACACCACGACTCCTTATATAAAAAAAAAGGTTGCCGAGGGTAAAAAAATTAGCATGCTAATCTAAAATTCACTCCACCAACAAACATTCATATTTTAATTTTTATTCGTTATTCGAGCCCCGAGAAAATCCAGCAATCAACTTAATTTAATGAATTTTATGAACAACATGCCGATTAATTTCTTATTCAATCTCAGTCAACGCAGAGGATAATTTTCATTAGATAATCAATTAAATGTTGAATATGCCCCGGACACCCTGATTAGGCAAAATACAAAAATTCTACTTCTAATTCAATAGATTAATTTTTCAAACTTTCCAATAGTAGTTTATTTAAGTAATGCCTTCCTTCTATAAGATTGTTTCAACTGAATTTTCTGAATGATCTGATCCGAGTCAGATTAAAATTTAGGAACAAACCATAACATTGTTTCACGATCAACATTTATTTTCTAAATAAAATTTATTTCTAGTTAAAATTAATGTTTGAAAGTTAAATAGATTTTAGGATTAAATTACGAGGTTTTTGTTTCTTCATGTTATAAATTCATTCATTCATTCATTCATTCATTCATTCATTCATTCATTCATTCATTCATTCATTCATTCATTCATTCATTCATTCATTCATTCATTCATTCATTCATTCATTCATTCATTCATTCAGTCTGTCAGTCAGTCAGTCAGTCAGTCAGTCAGTCAGTCAGTCAGTCAGCCAGCCAGTCAGTCAGTCAGTCAGTCAGTCAGTCAGTCAGCCAGTCAGTCAGTCAGTCAGTCAGTCAGTCAGTCAGTCAGTCAGTCAGTCAGTCAGTCAGTCAGTCAGTCAGTCAGTCAGTCAGTCAGTCAGTCAGTAAATCAATTAATTAGCAAGTATCTAAAACAAATAAATTTTTTTAAGTCAATTCACAACAATTGTTGTTCACTTATTCTATATATATATATATATATATATATATTGTATATATATATAATAAATATAATATATATAATATTATTTAATAAGCATGCAAATGGCGTGACATCAAACATCCGTGCAAACCACGCAGAGCAGCTGGTATGCGGTGGAAATTTGCACGGTAGATGTTTTAAATGAGGAGAAGCATGTCGCGGCCGTCATCCTACATCGATCCAGTGTGATAAAACACTAAACAGTTCAATTTATTTATTTGGGTTATTTATCTTACTAGAAAATATTTTTGAGAAATATCACGAAACCTCTGTAACTATTTTCGTCTGATTTTTGAAATAATTCAGGAATTGGTTGTTGGTGGATTGTTAAATATTTAATGAAGCTGAGTTTATTTGTTTCTGGGTTAACAATAATGAAGAATAATTATTTCGTATTTATAAATAATAGTTTAATATCAATTTGAAAGACATAAAATTTTGAAAAGTGATCATTATTTATTAAAGCCGTCTGATCAGTTTAAAATTACGTTAATTGCGTTTTGAAGTTTATTTTGACGTGAAACCCAATAATTTACTTGCATATAAATTTTTAACTTTGCTACTGATTAAAAATAGAATAATATTTCTGAAGCCCAAACACGACAAATTGTTATAACGAGATTAAATCACGCCGACTACATACACATCTTCAACTGATGATTAAATTTACAAGTATGTATAATCTCATCATTTCATCATCACTACATCATCGTCCTCTTTCTTAATTATATTGTCATCATCATCGTTCCCCGTTATATCATCATCACCAACAACAACAACATCATCATTTTTTATGTTTATTAGTTAATTGCAAACGCATTAGCCCATGGTTGAATAATAATCATTAAGAAATAGTTTTTCAGATTCTTAAATGCATTTGCCTGCGGTTTTAAATTTGCAAAAAATTTGAAGTACGAATTGAATTATTTACATAGAGTTTGAAAATTGTGAAATTGTCTTCTTGGTTTTATTATAACAACATTAAATATGTATTTGTACAAATAGCACGGAAACATTTATATTAATATATTGCCATTGTAGGAATCATTCATTATATGACACATTTTAATGCGATCAAGTGCCGTATTTTCGAGATGTGAAATAAAATTCAACGCATCACCACACACACGTTGCATGTGACTGGTTGAGATCTGCTTGCAATCGAATCTGGTGACTGCAACAAGAGGACCAGACACCTTAACAATAGGCTCCATTAAGCTCTAAATAATTTCTGTATCAAATCTAGTTTTTGATTCGTTCACGAAAAATCGAATCTAAGGCAAGTATATTTTTGTTTATGAAAACACAAATCGTTGACCTTGAAATTTAAAATAATTAAAACTTATAAAACCAACTGAACGTTATTTCTTTAAAATTTTTTAACAAACTTGAAACAATCTACACTTTTATCATTTATTTCCAGGCCGCTCAAACTAACATTCTATTTCTTCATTCACATCCAAGTCACATGCTTCAATAGAAAACATAATTAATACGAAATTATTAATACTATGTAACAGTAAAAGTATTAGTGCTAATACTAGTACCAGTTAGCAGTAGTAGTAGAAGTAGAAGTAGTTACCATCATCACTACCATCGACACCGCCCATCTCATCTTTATTCCTAACACATCCTCCAATTATTTTCAATATTGACAAGTGGTGTAGGGGTGTGATTGCTTGTTATTCAATAATAATAATAATAATAATAATAATAATAATAATAATAATTGATAACTACAATAACAATAACAATAATATGAACAAAAAAATAATAAGAAGAAAAAGAATAACAAATGATAACAATAATTACTTCATACCAGCAGTCAGCTTCGTTATTAGTCATTCATTTGCACTAAATAAAAATTAGAGATTTCGTAAATAAGAGACTTCTTTCAGTTAGAAATGATGGATAAACGGTGCTTACATATGAAAGTAAACTGAATCTTTATAAATTTGAATACAAAGCCTCCATTTAGAAGGAGGAAGCCATATTAATTTTTTTGAAGGAGCATCATTTTGACGTTTTGTGCATTTAAGAATTGTAAGAATTCTATTTTAATTATTTCCTTCTTTTGAAATCTCAAATTTTTAAGAGGAGAAAAAAATTGTTTATCGCAAAAAAACAACACAAGCAAACAGCAACGAATCAGTATCATTAAATATTAAACAGCAGCAAGATAAATGACAAGCTAGCTTGCACATGCTACAATGAACTACTTGGAAATGCTTGCTTAATGTGTTTAAACATCATGCATACAACATAAAAACATCCGGCGTTCAACATACAAACATCGTACATGCAACATACAAACATTATGCATGCAACATACAAACATTATGCATGCAACATACATAATCAAGCATATTATATAAAACCTACAATATTGCAAATACCATTGAATTCTAACGGGATCGACTATTCCAACATTTATATGTACATTAGGAAGTTAGGTGTTGTATCGCTGGATTGGTTTCTTAATTGTTTAGATTTGAACGGATTTCGGGTTACATCGGAGATGAGATGATCTACTGGCAAATGGCTAGAGCCAAACATATTTTTATTAATATTTATGCCTTACCTGTCATTTTATAAAATCAGGTGCTTAGGATTCTAGTGATTTTAAGAAAATTGCGAATGAACAATTTGTCAGCAAAGCTCATTCACCAAAAGAAGCAGTGGCAGACAACTTTGACGGAAGACGGGAGAGGCCAAGATTTTCATAAATATTTGGCAACCGAGGAGGGGGATTTTTAACCAAACGTCGATGACCGGAAGTTTAAAAAAATGGCAAATTGACGACTGGGGAAGAGATTTTGAGAAAAAGTTTATGACGTGAAAATTTTTTGCAAATTTTTGTACGAAATTTTTGTTTACCGGGGAGTCAACTTTTTTCGTTAATGTGGTGCAAACGTTACTTACCATCCTCTTGGGGCCTATAAGATCTATTTTGCCTTCAAAAACACAACTTTTTCCGTTAAAATATGGACTTTTACTAAATTTTAACATAAATAGCGCTCACAACGGGGGGTACTGGCCTCTCTTGATCCGCCACTAAAGAGCACTACCACATATAAATATCGCTAAAATAAACAGTGCAGTTCACAACGCTTAAAAACATAATGCATGTCATACAAAACGCAGGGCACTATATTTATCCACTCAATTCAACACTTACATTCGCACTCACACACACTCTCTTTTACACACAAACACAATACACTCATACACACACATCGGCACAACGAACAACCTGTCATGCTTTCTTGGTCACAATACAATGCCAGGTAAGAAAAGGATGAAAATATTATTGAACGTTTTTGTCTGGTTACATCATTTGATTACATTCAATGAAAACATCTTCTATTTAAATAAACATTCTACTTTTTGCAACTCGGAAATGTTTATTAAAATACATCTAAAAAGATTTCCTCATTTATTAATTTTAACACATAAAGTCCAATGTATCTTGATTTTATGACAAATATATAAAATTTATTAACTAAATAAAAAGCTTCTTAAACTTTATAACAAAATTAAATAAATAAAAAGCGAAGCAGAAAATAAGGAAATTTTAATCAGGGAATTCAATTGCGTGTGCCTGGGAAGGAAGGCAGGCAGGCAGCATGTTGCGTACGACAGCGCCGAGGCGACCAGCATTCTTATTTTCAATTAATTCCTCTTCCTGGCTGCCACGACGATTGTAAGCGTCTGCTTCTGTCGACAGCCTATGCCTAACCTACGTTGATGTACACAATCTTCAACTATTTCCATTTCTGAACGTATCTTTAAATTAATATTAAACGGTGCCAATTATGTTTTGTGTATTTATATACTAATTTATTAGGAGTAAATAAACGCAGTAATTCGGTGCGTATGTCTATGAGTGTGCCTTCATATTGTTATATCATGTTATGTTATTGTACGTCTGGCTCTTCCCAATAAATATAATCTTGTTATATTATATTCT